TTGAGCTTGATGTCCCCTGTGACTATGGTCCCAAGCCCACAGGTTCAACTACTCAGTCCCTCTGCAGTCCCCACTCTTATGAGCATCCCTTGACCATGTCATTGTTAATAACCACACAACCTCTAAAACCTCAACTCTCGCTGTCCCATCCTCATCTTCCAAGTAGCCATTTCTCCACTGCAAAGTTCCTGTAAGTTGACTTGAACAACTTTCCTCATCATCCCCAACCTGCTGAGCTTAAGGCACTCTGGTGGTGCCGTGGTTAAGGCACTGTGCTGCTAACCAAAAAGTTGGTGGTTTGAACCCACTAGCGGCTCCATGGGAGAAAGATGAGGCAGTCTGCTTCTGTAAAAGCTTTTGGGAAACTCTATGAGTTATGAGTCAGAATCGACTGGATGGCAGTGGGTTTGGTTTTTGCCCAGCTTAGATGCTCTATCAGCGCAATCACTGACATGAAACCTCCATTAACTCCCTTGCCCCTCCCCCTCCCCCTCTCCATGACACTTAGGGGGAAAAGCCCACCCCTTCTACAACTGTGCCTCACTGAGCCTGCAGGCCTGACTAACTGCACCGTGTTGGAAGAGAAACACCACTCCTTGCTGAAAGACCTGATTTGAAACTCAAGGCAGCTAACTTCAGGGGGTGCCTAATGAGCTCTGACCACATTTCTCTGTCTTGTATAAGAGTCTCCCTTTAAAACAACTATTCACACCTCCTCTCTTCTCAGCCTACACCTCTGCCCACTTTCTCTCACCTCATTGAGAAAATAGAAGCAAATCGGGTAGGAAGACCTACCTCCTCCCAGCAGCAAATCTAGCAAACTGTTGGCATCTGGACTCCTGCCTTCCCTCCTGTTTCCACAGAGGGTGCATCTCAGCTCCCCACCCCACCCCTAGATTCACCCACCAAAGCCTCCAGGGCTGCACTACCTCGCATCACCTAGCCTAGCCAACAGCATTGTGAGACCCAATAAAGGAATATAGGAAACTACTCTTGAAATTGTTTGCATGAGGATGGGCCCAGCACTGACTGTAGTGTGGGAGAGACAAGATATACCACAGTGATGGGCAAACAGGACTTGCTGAAAACTGTGGAGCTCCGTTTACATCAGAGCCAGATTCCAAGTTGGTCTCAATGGGGAGAAACACTCGTTATCAAATTACCCTTGACAATCTCTTAAATTGCCCATAAAATACAGTACAGTGTTGTTGTTGTTGTTATGTGCCGTCGAGTCAGCCCTGACTCATAGTGACCCCTCCTTGGGTTTCCGAGGCAGTATCACTACGGAAGTAGGATTGCCCAACCTTCCTTCCGAGAAGTGGCTGGTGGGTTTGAACCGCCAGCCTTCTGGTTAGCAGTCAAGTGCCTTAGCCACTGTGCTACCAGAGCTCCCAGTACAGTACAGTAGGATCTCTGATTAAGCTCAATACAGCCTGGCTGTTTTTCTCCAGCATTGAGCTTTTCTTTGGTTGAGTATCAGATAAAGTAATTGATTTATTTAAGGACCCATTTTTATACGAAAAATCTATGTCTTAAACAGCAAAATCACATTCAGCACAGTCCGATGCTGTTTATCACAGCTATTTCCTCTTCTTCCTAGGCCCACACACGAATCTATATTTTTCAGCCTCCATTTGCTTAGATGTGGAATGGAATATGAGTAGAAGTAACACGTGCTGATGCCATGCTTTCCCATAAAAACCTGCCTCATGCAGTTCTCCACGCCTGATGGCTTGATGCAAACAGGAAGGGACCTCTTGGAAGCCATGTGTTGACTATGGTAAAGCCCTAAGATGGGAGGAGCCTGCATGCTTCAATCACCGCTTGCAGGAGATGGCTTTAGGTGAGTTAGAAATCAACGTCTATCATGGCAGAGCCAGTGTACGCTTTCGGGTTTGTTACAGCAGCCAGTGTTACCTTTAGTCACACCTTTAATTATGAGACCCAAGAGCGCCTGAGAGAACAGTGGTCTTGGTATTCATCTCATGCCCTCTTCATGCTTATTGAGTGGAAAGAGCAAATGGGATTTCTGCACAGTGCTTATTCTTTCTGTCCACAAGCATATAGTTGAAGTCTAGAAAGTTATATTGCACATATAATGATTGGACTATATACTCTAGATCAAATATAGTGCCTCCAGGACCCAGTGTAGCCCAGACTCCCAGATCACAGGTTCTGGGCTGTTGCCATTCAACCTTAACTACCACAGTGTGTATCTCCCTGGTGTTATTGTTCACCTCATAGGCCTGTTTTACTGTTTGACTGAAGGGTGAGCTACAGAAATATTCAGTTCCAGGATTGAAGGGTGACTAAGGGCTATAGTCTTAAGGATTCCACCAGCGGGGAGCTGGTATCAGACCAGTAAGCCTGATATTTTTTTATTTTGAGGTTGGTTCCACATTTTCCCCCCACTCTATCCAGGATCTCCTATTGGGGTTCCTTTACAAGTGGTTGGGAGTGTAGCCAGTCACCATCTAGTTCTTCTGGTCTCAGGGTCATGGAGGCTGAAGTCATGTGGTCCACTAGTCTCTTGAACTAATTATTTCCATGCATCTTTGATTTTCTTCACTCTTCTTTGCTCCAGTTGGGGAGACCATTACTTGCACCTTAGACGTCCGTTTACAAGCTTTTAAGATTCCAGTCGCTACTCACCAAAGTAGGATGTGGAACACTGTCTTTGTGGACTATGTTTTGGCAATTGACTGTAGACTGTTAGTAGAGCTAACAGGGCAAAGTTATGAAAACTTCTTAGCTATAACCAAACATCTTGAGGGAATGAATCACTGGGCCTGTGGGCTTTGGACCATCGTTGAAAGGGACATCAAGGTCAATTGGCATAAAGCCTTCCAACGTTCATCCTACAAGTGCCCCCAAAAGAGGTCCAAGATGATTTGCTGCAGCATTCATTGTTCAGGGCAGCAGGACTTGGTTCAATAGTTAATGGAATACTATGTAGCCATTACAAACACTGCTGACATAGCAGTGTTGAGCATGCTCAGTGTTGAGGGCAGGTTCTGAAGCCAAACCAGCCATGTTGGAATCCTCTTAGGGACCTCAGTTCCTGTCTGTAAGACTGAGCACAATAATGGGATTATAATATTGTACAGTGTTTAAGGTAGTTCTGAGATGAAGTAGCAAAAAGGCACAACAGTAACTTTTTAGCAGCAGAGTAGCAAATACATAGAATGGATTTTAAAATAGGAAATCTATGTGTAGACAGATTAAGAGATTTATTTAGACAAACACACAAGAAATCTGCAGCAGTGCTTGCCTCTGGGGAATATCGAGAGCTTGAGGTGGGAGGACTTTTCGGTCATCATCTGTAGTGTTTAAAGTTATATGTGATTATATACCTGTTTAAAACAAAAATCCCTTCAGTGGCTCCATGTGGCCTTCAGGACCAAGTCCAAATGCCCTGCCAAGCTCCTCAGGCCACCCCTGTTGGCTTCTTCCACCTCATCTCTCATCTGCACTCCACCTCACCCCTAGCACTTAGTGTTCCAGCTGAACCCTTCTGCTTCCATTTCCACGATTTCCCAGAGCACTCCCTGGCCTCCCTCCCTTGCACGCTGTTCCCTCAGCTGGGAATTCTCTCCTGTGCTCACCCTTCCCTCCTTAATCCTATGCAGCTTAGGACTCCCTTCACCAAAACTGCCACTTCTACTCCTTAACTGAACTGTTATTGCTCCTCCATGACTGTGACCTCCAAGAGGGCTGGGAGGCTCCCCACTGAACGCCCTGTGCCTAGCACAAGTTAGGCTCCATGTACTGGCTAAGTTTCAGTGCCTCTAGACACTGATGGCCTCTTGGACCATTTGGCTGAGTCATGATGAACATTAAATGAATAACATCTGCAAGTAACTCCCAGTACAGGGTCTGGCAGATGGCAGGCTTGATGTAGGTTTTAAAAAGAAGAGCTGTGCCAGGCAGCAGAGAAAGCTCAAACAGTAGGGGGAGAAAAAAACAAAAAGACAAAAAAAAGTTTAAAAAAAAGAAAGAAAGAAAAATCATATAGTAGGGAAGCTGATTAGGGACCAGTCCCCAGAACAAGGCCTAGTATCTGGTAGGTGCTCAAAAACAACTTAAAATTGCAGACTTCTGGGACCATCCTTGGAGTACACTTTGAGAAACCAACTAATCTATTCACAAATATTTACTAAGCAGCTACTATATACCAGGTTAAGGTCAATCTTCATTCTGGGGTGGATAAGGGAACAAGAAGTCTGTGCCCTCATGAAGCTGACATTCTAGTGGGCATAAAAAATATCAAATACATAAATAAACGTAGACAATGTTATAAAGAAAATAAATCAGGTGGGTAGAGGGCATGGCATGAAGTCGGGTAGCAGAGGGCCTTTGAGGGCACCGTAGGATGAGGGGAAGAAGCCAGCCAGCAAACTGAGAACCCAGCTCCATCTTTTTCCCCCAAGGCCTCCTTCAACTCAGGCCCTGGTCCAAGAGTATCCCAAAGGAAACCAAGTCCAGATAGTTCCCGCCTTTATTATCAAGGCTTCCAGGGCCAGGGTAAACAGGACAGACGAAACTACAAAGGGAAGGATCTAGAAGGCCCTTTCCCTCCTGAGCACAGTGCCTCCAAGCTGTCTCTGGCCAGAGGAGGAGGCCTGAACTCCCCCTGCCTTTTGGGGAACTTGGCCCCCACATCATCTCCCTCATTCAAGTGTCCCTAAGATTGCAGTCCAAGCCAGACCCCGGAGCTGAGTCAGCAGGGTGTGACAATACGTAGTCCTCAGACAGGCCTCCTGGGGCCCCAGGGTGGTTCTCCTGCGTACCCTTCCTCTGTGGACAGGTCCTTGGGGGTCACAGGGGTGGGCAGGACCAGTCCTCAGGAGTTTGGAGAACATGACATCACCATCCCAGTGGGTTGGACAGCACGTCAGGAAGAAGTGAGCCTGGGACCTCCGAGGAGGGGAAGGGGAGCCATGTGGCAGTGTGAGACTCCCAGGGCAGGTGGGCGCTGGGGGACTGGAAGTTCCAGGATCACTTCATCTTGGCACGGTCTGCTGCGTCCAGGGCAGCGATGTTGTGAGCGGCTGTGATCAAGTGGATGACACTGATGAGGGACTTGAGCAAGGCAATGGGGGCGGTGACCCAGAGGCCCATTCGGAATAGACCCACGGAGCCAACTGTGGGAAGGGAACGGGGGAGAGACGAAGAAAATGAGATGCCATGGGGTCCGAGGCCTTCACCTCCCTTGGCAGGCCACAGCCCCCCGCCACCCTCCTGGCCAGCCCCTCAGCTCCTACCTAGTGGTCCCTCGGAGAAGTGGAACAGATAGAGGAGGCAGTAGAAAAGCTCATTTCCAGCACAGAGGACGAACAGAGCAGGCTACACAAAGGGCAAAAACATTGCTTAAGAGAGTAGGCCAGTGGGTAGTGGCCCCTGCCAACTCACTCAGGCACAGGGAGCCAATACCCTCAGATAGGTAGAACATATGGGGGAAAAAGGGTGCCAGAAGGATTTCATTTCCACTTGCTGTCTGGAACAACTCATAGTCCCTCCCCACAACCCTACTCTTTCCTTCATATTGAAGTTCACGGGTCTCTCCTTCCCTGGGAGACCAGACTGGTTGTCCCTGTGCTCACGGCCTCTCCTCACCTGGGATCGGGGCTCAGACCAGGGCTCAGCCTGGGACTTGGCGTAAGCTGCGTGAACAAAGAGAAGGGTGGGCACGCTTACCCTGGAGGTATAGTAGATCCGAAGCACTGGATTCCCAGACAGGTCGATCATTTTGTGACTCTCACTGCCTCGGACCACAGAACTTAGGCAGAAAGTAGGAGGAAGCCATGAACTTATGTTACCACTAACATCCATCTAACCCTCACATTGACCCCATGAGGTAGGCCCTGGGACCACCTCTCTTTTACAGATGACCCGGGGCACAGATGAGGACCAGTACCTTGTCCAAAGATACATGATGACCTAGTTACAGGGCAGGGTCAGGATTCAGATGCGACATCCCAAAGCTCCCCTTCCGCCCCATGAGCTACGACCCACTTGGAATTCTGGAATATCCAGCCAGAAGAATCTTAAGAATTGCTTAAGTCAAGTGTAAACAGGACTGAAGCTGATTCAGAGAGGGACATGACTTGGCCTGGGTCCTTCAGCAAAGAAGAGGCTAAAAATGGTGATCTTCCAAGAAGTCTGACGGCATCCCAGACAACCTCCTGTCTAGTCTCACCCCTCCCACTGTCATGTCATCTTCAACCTGTCAACACCTGCAGGCATCCCAGAGCCGCGGCAGACCTGTGGAGGTGCAGCCAGTGGCTGGCCACGTCCAGGCTCATGCTGAGCTGAAAGAGGAGGGTGGCTCGAGGGTACAGCAGGGCCAGGTTGACCAGCAGACACATGGTGGAGCAGCGATCCGTCAGCATGTCCAGCATGGCCCCAAACCGGGTCCCTGAAAAATCAGGACTATTAGGTGGGAAAGGGCTGTTACAAGCTGTGGACCCATGACAGGTACCATATTTGATCTATCACCCTCATGCAGTCTAAAAAAAAAACCAAACTCACTGCTGTTGAGTCGAATCTGACTCACAGCAACCCCTCCTTGGGTTTCTGAGGCAGTATCACTACAGAAGTAGATTGCCCAACCTTCCTTCCAAGGGTGGGTTCACACCCATCAGCCTTCTGGTTAGCAGTCAATTGCCTTTGGCACTATGCCACCAGAGCTCCAAGGGTCCACTATTCACTGCCTGGGGAGAACAGCAGGCTGACATTGGTGGGGTGAGAGGTCAATGGGCAAGGGTCACCATGTTATGAAATGAGAAGGCAGAGGGGTATGGAGGGGTACAGTGTGGAATGGGGTTGGGAAAGCTCTCTACCACTCATCAATCTCACAGCCAAGGCTCCCAGTCAAGACAGACGGACTTGACACTCAGAGGAAGTCTTAGAGGTAGCTCTGGAGAACAGGTTTAAAGAAATCAGTCAGCCCTCCAGAGGCCACAGTTTCCACCCTTCCTCTAAACATGACTCCCAGAATTCCCTATTGCCTGCGTCTGGCACACAGTAGGTCCTCAGAAACACCTGCTGCATTCTTACACAGAGACCTTCAGCACTGCCACCTGCCATTTGACACCACAATCAGAAACTCCTTCTCAAAAACAAACTTAAACCTCTTCTGTTACAAAACCTGGCCTTTCTGCTCTGCTTTCTCCAGAGGTGGCAATGACAGAGCCCTTCAGATTCCCGAGTTCAGGCCACACTGAGGTTCTGAGGAGGCAGGGAGCAGAGGGTTGTTGGGCTCCATGGCTGGCTGGGAGGGGTGCATGTCACCTTGATTAAGGGCTCGAGCCGCGTGTCCATCGAAAGCGTCCAGAAGTCCGCTGAGCAGGTAAAAGGACGAGGCCGTGAGGGGGCAGCAGGGCATGAAGTAGAATGAAATAATGGCGAAGACGATCCGGGCGTAACCTTGGGATGAGGAAGGGGAAGACAAGACAGGGAGGAGTCGTGGGACCTGCCCGAAGTCGGTCGCCCTCCGGTTCGCTCCAAGGCCGCGGGCAGCACTCACCGATGAGGTTTGGCACGAACAGGAAGATATTTTCGCCTGGCATCGCGGCGGCTCCTTTGCGGTCCCGAACCCGGTCCGCAGATGCCCGAGCTGTTCCAGCCCCGCCGCGCGACCTCACCCGCAGCTTGGGCGCATCAGCCGCGCCAACTGCGTACAGCTCCCCGCTGCCCGGGCCCGATCCCTCCTGATGTGTAACCTCGCAGCCGGTCCAAGCACGGATCCGCCCCGAGGTGTGCCGGGCACACCCCGCCCTTCCGATGGGCAGCTCCTTGCCGCCGCCCGCCCCGCACGCACCCTCACTGCCAGTCTCCGTCTTAGATGCTCCAGCTGTGCTCAGCTTCCGGGAACCTACCCTTCTGCACTTGCAGTTGCAAAACTGGAGGTTAAAAAAAAAAAAAAAAAAAAATGAAGCTTAACAAGTGGCTGCGGCCCCTTTAAGACATGCTCACTTCCTTTTCCTTTTCTTTTCTCCGCCCCTTTCCCTTGGCACGTACCAAACATGGAAGGGGGGGGGTCGACGCCGCGCAAAAGTAAGAACTGCAAGGCGAGGGCAAAAGACAAGGAAACCTAGATAAGAATGTCTGGTTTCTTTTATGCGGGGTATGTGTCTTCCCGGAGACCACGACAAAGAGAAAAGATTCCGCCCCTTTGAGTCTTTCCGTCCCCAAGAGACAAGGTTGTTTTGTACACTCCACATTTTCTCTTCCCTGCCCCCTAACTCTGGCCTTATTTGCTCTCTCAGGTTCCAGGCTACGAAATGTTGGCCAGAGAGTTTGGAGACCGGCCTAGGGTAGGGTTGCTTCTCGCGCGCCCCTAGTGGTAGGAGGATTCGGTCCGCGGCTCCGTTTTATGTGTTTTTTTCCATCTACTCAAGCCTCTGGCCCAGGGGTCGCCGCCCTCGAGGTGGGACCTGGAAGGTGGTGGAGAGGTTGGAGGAGGGAACGGGACATGTTGGGAAAATGACCCCCACCTTTGGTTCTAGAACCCTTAATACATCTCCTGGCAACCGGGCTGCGGAATCTTCGCAGACGCCAAGGTTGTTATAGCAACGGGTAGCGGCGCGGCCAGGGGTCCCTTTCTTTCCAGCCCGCCTCCCCATCTCCGCCTCCCTGTGCCCCCCCTCCTCCAAAAAGCCCTATAGAAACAGCCGCCGTAGGGCCCCTCTAGACCTCTCCATCTTCTTTCCTGCCGAATAACCCAAGATTTCAGCCCATCAGCCAGGTCCGGAGCGGCGAGTCGGTTGCCTTGGCTTGGGAGGGAAGAAGGAAGGAGAACCTCGCTGGGTGAAATGGGGGGAGGGAATTGTTGTGTCCTCCCACCCCCCATCCCCCGGAATCTGAGACAATGGAAATGAGATTGCGGGGTGGTTCATCTAGAAGTCTTGTTTAAATCTGGGCCAGGAATGGTGGTGGGATGGATTTTTTGGGACAAGAGTGGCTAGTTTTTCCCTCTAAACAGGTTCCAGTTGTTCCCAGGGGGATGGCATCCACTCCTACCAAGAATGAGGAGAAAAACGGCAGTTGCCCCCAGGCCACATCCGCCTTTTGTGGTGGTCCAGTGAGTACTAGAGCGAACACCAAAAGTGGGAGTGTAATGAAGTGGACAGCTCCTAGGCATGGGCACCCAGCCCCAGGTCTGACCCATGAGCCCCCAACTTAAGATCTCATCCCACAGACCCCCTACTTCTGAGATTGCCCTCACCCATGAATCTTAGGCCCAGACCCATAACCCTCCATCACTGACTCTGAGGTCCTCAAAGACTGCCTCCCAGGTCCAGGGCCTTCTCGATCAAATATGAAGGCTTAGCCTGCTAGCTCTCAGACCCAGAAACCTCATATCGGAGCTCCTCTGCTGAGGCCGCCTGAATTTTTTTTTTATCCAGAAGGTTTTCTTATCCCGTTCTGAGGAATTTCTGGCCCGGATCAGCACAGAACTCACTAATGAGGCCTTATTCGTTGCTGGCTGCCAAATGACCCCTTTACCCACCAAGGAAAAGCGGACACAAGACCAAGGGACTCAGATATCTAAACACGGTGAGCCCCATCCCAGGACAACTGTGTCCAGAAACCCTTCCATAACCCTAGTTTCAGTCCTTGACCCCCTCCCAGCCACAGCTGACCTCTCCAAAGATCTGTGCCCATCTCCCCCATCTCACAGCCAGCCCTAGGAGCTGTGCACTGTCCTCTACCCACTAACTCAGCCCTCGTTCCTCACTGCCTGGCCAGGAACTCCCTCAGCCCCTTCTGCCCTAGCCACATCTTTCTGGCCATGGGGATAGTCATTTCTCTGACTGGGGCCTCTACTTCCAGCGTTCATCACCAAGACCCGAGGCACAGACACCCGGTGAGTGAGGCTTCAAGGGAGTTGTCTTTTGTCCTGGGAAAAGGATGAGGAGCCTGTAGGGGAGAGACCAAGGGTTTGACGACATTCCAGCAGGGTAGGGTGATTTTGAACCACGCAGTCCTATTCTGTTCTTCCCTGACCCTTGAATTCACAGTTCTCAGCTCTCCCCATTCTCTTCTACCGTCTCTAGCTCTGACAGAAATCGTACCCGCACCAAAGCACACCTCCTGCCATCCCCGCGTGACAAGGTATGCGTAGGGTCCATGGATGATAAGGCCATTCAGTTATTCACCAAACATTTAGAGCTCTTGCTATAAGCCAGTCCCTGTTTTAGGAGCTTGAGACACAGAAATGAATGATACAGCCTCTGCCCTTGAGGGATTCAGGTTGGTGTGGAGACAGACAAGTAAATGGCCAGTTACAATCTTATGTGGCTAAGTGCCCATAACAGAAATGGAAACAGTGAGAAGAGCACTTATCTCAGCCTCATTGGGACAGGAAGGAAAGGAATCATGGAAAACTTCCTGGAGGAGGTAACACCTAAAGAAAGAATTTACTAGGGAAAAGGATTGGTAGGGATATTTCAAGAAAGGAGAATTGTATGAGCAAAGACACAAAGGTGGAATTCAGTAGAGTGAGTATGAGTATATATGTGTGTGTTTGGGGGTGGGGGCACTGGTAAATGGGTGGGTGGGTAAATTCATCCAGTCTTTATGAAACACTTTCACTATGTGTCAGCTCTATTTGAGGGGCTGGAGTACAACAGTGAACAAAACAGACTTCCTGCTCTCAAGGCGTTTAAATGGGGGTGGGGGGTGGGATGAAAGAAAGATGAGGGGGTAGGTAGATGGAGGAGGGATAGATGGATGGATGAGTGGACAGATGAATGGGGGGGGCAGTAGTTAGGTGTGTGAACAGAGATGGGGGTAGATGGGAAGTGGATGGGTGGGGAACAGTGAATGGTTGGGTGAAAGGAGAATGGTGGGTGGGTGGGTGGATAGCAGGTGGAAAGATGGACAGAGGCAGAAAGAGGATGGTGAGAGAAAGAGTAAACGTTAGCTGAACAGGGAATGGATGCGTAAAAAGACATGGTGGGTGGATGGGTAGATGGCTGGATGGGTGAATGGACAGATGGGGAAGTGGGTGGATGGGGGACATAGAGGTTGGCTGGCTGGATAAAGGATAGACATGAGCCTGGTTTTTCCTAAACAGACAAAAGTTCTTACTCTTTTCTAGGGAGCTCTGCCAACCAGCTTGACATCTGGAGGATGATCCCACCTCTCTTTGCTGCTGCTCTCGGCCTCTCATTCCTTCTCCCATGTTGTCCCTCTAGAAGATGTCTCAAAGCTCCTCTTTCAGAACTACCTGAACACCTCAGTTTTGGGGGGACTCTTGGTTACGAGCAGCATCAACTCTGAAGCCTCCAAAGTGTTGCAGAACCATCATCTCTCTCTTCACATTCAACCAACCAGGACACCACCACCAGGGATCACAGACTTTAATAAAGAGACGGGATCCTCTCCTCCTTCCCAGTGGGCCAGTTCCCTGTGTGGCGTCTGTGGAAGGCAGCATTATCTGGGATAGAGAGGAAAGGCCCTTTTTGGCTGGGTATGGGCCGATATCAGAGTAGCTTTAACTCAGCCTGTGGGCAGAGGTGAGCTCCCGGATCCAAACCTCACCTTAGCAAACTCCAGCACCTTAGGCTCTAGGCCAGTGGCATCTGGCAGGGTCCACCCCTGTTCCTGTGAGGTGACCACTGCCACCAGCATTGGTGCTGAGGACCCTGAGTCTTCGACCTCTGGGGCTTCGTGGTTATGTGAACATCTCATACCAGGTTCAGTAAAATTCGCTTTGAAGAAGGATCCTTTGGAGAAACATGATAAAGTCCTGATCATGTTCAAAAGGAGATCAGGTAGAAAAGGGCATCCACAGGGCACGGACCAAGCCCACCGTTTATGAAATGCTGCACATCTGCACAATACTTGACAGAAACGTAACAGTAGGTTATACTTAAAATGCCAAAAACAAGACAACACAACAAAACAAAAAACTGGCCCACTTCCATTTTCAAAAGGGAGTTGGATTTTAGGTAAAGTGGTGAGACAAGTGGAGAGCTCTTGCCTCCTGCCAGAGTGAGGGAGGGGGGACCTACTGACCGCTGTCTTCCAGCGAGAAGAGCCCATCTCTGGCCCGTCAAGTCCCTTTGGAGAGGCCACTGAGCCCCAGAAAGCAGCTTCTCCCAGCCAGTCCTTCCCAGAGGCTGAGCTGGAAGCCAGGCTTTTGAATTCCAGGCCAGCCCCCTTGATACTGCGCCGTGTCCAGCTTCAGATTTCCATCATTTTCCTGAATTGGTCTCCTTTTCCCAAAGCCCTTTCTCCACAGAGGCTACCATCACCGATCCCGACACTATGACCCGCTTCCCCACACCCCACCAGCCCAGTTACAAATGGTGATTTTCTGTTTATTGCTCAAAAACAAAAATCCAGAAGCAAAGATGGGGGGATTGTGGGCTGGGGAGACCACAGGAAGAGGCCAGGGGCTTGTCCCATTTCTCCCCTTCATCCCTGGTCTTCTCATCCAGTAAGGCCCAGGAGTCAGGCCTGGGGCCCGGGCATCTGGGGGTGACAGAGACTTTGTGGTCAAGGGAACTGCAGTGTTACCAGGTGGTGGAGCAGTCCTTGTGGGGTGCCCTGGGCTGGA